AACCACTTCAACTCGTTTCGGCTTACTCAGACTTTTTTAAACCCTCAATAAATTGATAACAACAATAATAATGATAAAAATAATGATAATAATGAAAATAATTAACATGAAAATAAAAAGTAAACATAATTTTGAATTTATTTCGACTAAAAAAAAAATTGACGTGAACTGCTACATTCGCTCAAAATCCGGAGAAAGTATGGCCCTTGGCGATTGTTGATTACTGGAAACCTGAATTGAGCTTCACTTCAGTCAAATTTATTTATTATTGTTTTTTTTTTTACAAGAAATTTAATATTTCCCTTGACTTTTATATTTATGAAGTGTCAAATCACATAAATTGATTTAAATGAACCCGACAGAAATAAATTTAAAAAGATTTTTTTCTGATCGGATAATTAGCATCATTAAAGCGTCAATCAAGCGGCAAACGACTTGAAATATGGCTAACACTTGCAGTTGAGGAATTTAGCGCTTTTATTAGCCGTTCACATCACTTTGTATCTTTTCCGAATGACTAGCCTTACAAGGGTTTAATGAGCAGTGATAGTATCATTAAGTAATTTAATTTTTTTAACAGTGAATGTATCTCACTCAGCTCACAGATAATTGAAATTTGTTGTTGCATTTCAATGCATTTAATGCAACTTCGGAAGACCTGCCTTTCAGTCTAGTTTGCATGTTGGTGGCATTTTGTCAACAGTTGAATGACGTTATCCGCCCAACTGCAGATACTTTGCTCACTTTGCATATTGCATAATTTATGAGTATTTCTACACTCTTTCTTTAGCAGCTTCATTTAGGAATAAATTACCTAACATCTTCAACAATTTCAATGGATACTTATGCTCTGTGAATTAAAAATTGTTTATATAAAACTCTTTTCTGTTGTGCTTTAAGAAAGTAAAGTCAATAAACTTTTAAATCTTGTTTGCTCATGTTAAACTACCAGCACATTTTTTGGTATGTATCTTCACGTAATCATGTTGTAGGTACTGCGCTCATCATGGTACCTCTGTGTTATTATGTCATGCGGTCTTAGGTATATCTACTTTTGTTTCAGTTAAGTTTTACACGGTTTGACTTAGTGAACTCTGCTGTTTATGGCTTGGTTACTGTGAAACTTCATTAAGTTTTATTTCTTCTATGTTAGATTTTGCAGAAAATTTTTGCCAACAATGAGAAAATTTGTTTAATATCTGAACTTACTTATTGTATTTTGAAATATGTAATTTGAAACTGAAAAGTTTTCAGTAATAGAGAGACCTAAAAAT